CCCCAAAACCCCAAAACCCCAAAACCCCAAAACCCCAAAACCCCATTTTCAATAAAAACAATTGAAATTTACTGGATGATTATTCTTAACATTTTAGAGTGTATTTCATAATCCATCTTTCTTATCTTCCTGCTTCAATTGTGATAAAAGATAGAATGTATCCACTGCTGTGAGTGGTGACCATATGGGGATGAGTCCTGAGAGGAAGGACTTGGTATTCCCTAGTGAATAATTCTTCAAGTCTAATCATCACAGCAAGACCCATATCATTTAAATACTTCTCTAGTTCAGCTAATGGATGCATAAATTGAGAATGAACAGCCACATAGCATGAATACTGAAGAAATTCCTGAGCAATGGAGAATAAATCTTTAGGGCTATGCTTGTCGTGTACAATAATACAACTCGAACAAGAAGCTTGGAGCTTCTTTCTTAATTCTATTGATTCTTCATTCTTTTTCTTCAGTTGTCTATAGTTAATGAACTCGATGTTGTCCCCCTCGACATTTGATAGCTTGTTCATATGCATGATTTCGCCATTAACGTTATTACTTTCCCCATCAGGCAGGGAGAGCTTATAAATAATCCCTTGCTCGTTCATTCTCTCAACAACTCCTGCTGTGACTACTCCTTTAGTATTCTCTATCACCAAAGAAGTAGACTTTCATGAAAGATTTGTGCTGTTCAAGATATAGCCTAATGCATCATGTCTTAGCTTAAGTGATTTGTTATCAACATTGTCATACACAAAATCACAGATATGATGCAGGGATGGATACCTGAGCTCAACATAGTTAAGATGTTTCTTCTTCAACCTCTTAAGATACTTCTCCTGGCTGAATTTAGTCCTTTTATTAAAGGTCTCAGAGTTTTGAACAATATCGTCTATTAGCTCTTGTCCACGGATCCCGATACTTTTTCTGTATTCAATCTCTTCGTATGACAATTTCTGGTTCTCGTTCACAGCGTAGATCTCTCTATTATCATTATTTATCTCAGTGTTGACTTCAAGGGAGTGAATGTCTTGGTCAAGAGTGTAGATATCTTCTTTAATTATAGTTTGCTTATTCTTGTTCTCCAAAATAGTGCCATAAGTACAGCCAATAATTTCCTCCCCCATGACAAAGAAGTTGCCAATTTTGTACTTCTTAGAAGGTTTCATCTTGGCTATCAAACTCTTGCCAGAATTGCTCACAAGTAGAACTCTATCTCCTTCCTTAATGACATTAGATTTCACAGTAGAGGTAGGTTTAATAATTGTGTTTGTAGTTCTCTGGTTCATTTCTTTAATCTCTTCCATTTTCTGTACTAATTTGGCTTCTCTTTTCTTTACAATTTGTCTAAAGCTCATTATTTAGTCACTTACGATTCCTTAGTGTCAGCTTCAACAGGTTCTTGGGCTTCCATTTTAATTAATATAAGATCTCACAGAGGGGTTTTGGGGTTTTGGGGTTTTGGGGTTTTGGGG